CTGATGAATGTTGCTTCCCTATGTGCACATAAGTGTCGATCAGTTAATACCAATTTGATGGTGAGTACATGTGGTGTTTATTTTTCCATTCTTGGGATACTTCACTTAGTAGAATGGGCTCCATTTCCATCCAGGAATGGAATGTACAAGAGGTACATACTGCAAAATTTAACATGCCACAGAAATCTAAATTTTATTGTTATGATTTTTCTAGGTCATCTATAATAGTATTTTGTGAGATAAGTTTCAACATAAACTTGAAAGAAAATTGACACAATTTTTGTCACAAAATTGACATGATTTATTGATTGAACTCAACACATTTATTAAGGAGAAAGGAATTCATGTTTCTTGGGTGATTCTTATGTGCTCAGTGTTTATTTTCATTTACTTCTCCCAATAATCCTGTGAGAAAAGTATTATTATTATATACAGATGAAGACATTGAAGCTCTAAAAAGTTAAATAATCTGTTTAAAAGATTAAATTACTAAGTAAATAGATCACATAACTAGAGAGTAAGTGGGGAGGGAGGAGAAATTTAAACACAGACAAAATCCAAAGAATGGGCACAGGAAGCACTATGATTTAGAAGCAAAACTTGAGAGTAAGCTAAGCCATGAAAACTTAAATTACCATAAAGTACCATTTCTTTCTTTCTTTTTTTTTTTTTTCCCGAGACAGAGTCTCACTTTGTTGCCCAGGCTAGAGTGAGTGCCATGGCATCAGCCTAGCTCACAGCAACCTCAAACTCCTGGGCTCAAGCAATCCTCCTGCCTCAGCCTCCCAGGTAGCTGGGACTACAGTCATGCACCTCCATGCCCGGATAATTTTTTCTATATATATTAGTTGGCCAATTAACTTCTTTCTATTTCTAGTAGAGACACGGTCTTTCTCTTGCTCAGGCTGGTTTCGAACTCCTGACCTCGAGCAATCCGCCCACCTTGGCCTCCCAGACTGCTAGGATTACAGGCGTGAGCCACTGTGCCCGGCCTATAAAGTACCATTTCTAAAAAAAAATGTTGAATTAGTACAATTGCATTTAAAAAATATCCAATGCTGGAAGGATGTGCTGGTAGCAAATAGATCCTTTTCAAAAGCAAGTTGACAATGTGATTCAAGAGCCTGAAAAGTGTCCCTACTCTTTGATTCCATAATAACTCCCTTTTCAGGTATCCATCCTAGCAAAATTAGGCGTAAAAAGACATGCTTTATCTGAAGTAGTATGATATGTCACTTAGGGCATGGGACTAGATAATCTGAAGGGTATTAAAGGGACTCTTTGTGGGCTGAGTGCAGGGAATGCTAAGGAATAGTGCAGTACCCCAGGACTGACAGGAACAGGGTGTGTTTGTGTATGTGTACGTGTGTGTATGTGTGTGTGTAGGGGGGAGCACTTAGGCACCCAGGCCTGAAAAAAGGAGGGAAGGGAGCAATTACTGGACCCAGAGGCAGAGGGAGCCATGCTGCGGAAAGGGTCATTGGACAGTGACCCTGCAGAGGGAGAGCCTGGGAAATAAAGGCCTCAACATGACCCTTCTCCTATCCTCTGATCTCCTGCCAGTGTCCCCTTGGCTGATGCCCATCAGAAGCCAGAGGGCAAGGGAAAGCATTGAGACGGTCCACACGAGTCAGCCTGTGGGGCACAGAGCAGTCTGGAGAGCAGATCTGGAGGATACCCAGCACAAAAGTTTTAGCTAAAATGGCAAAAAATCAGTAGTACCTTCCATCAATGGGGGGAATGGTTAATTAAACTTTGTCCCAGCTGCCCAGTGAATATTATACAGCCATTAAAATGGTAACTAGGAAGACTAGTCAGCAACATACGAGTGAGCTAACTGTGGATGAAAAATTTTAATAGGATAGAAAAATTACATGTTACAACTATATCCAAATTTATTCACACAAATGGACCTATAGCAAAAACAAACAGCAAAAACGCAAGTATTTGTGCTCAGAGGATGAGATCATAGGTGATTTTTGTTTGTTTGGCCTTTTTCAATTCCTCAAGCTCTCCCAAATACTATTTTTGCTCCCTTTGTAAAAGGTACTTTTTTTTTTTTTTAAAGACTTAGAACTCATCTAGCTGTTTTATTTTAAGGATTGCCATTTTATACTTTTTTTTTTTTTTGAGACAGAGTCTCACTCTGTTGCCCAGGCTAGAGTGCCATGGCATCAGCCTAGCTCACAGCAACCTCAGACTCCTGGGCCCAAGCGATCCTCCTGCCTCAGCTCCCGAGTAGCTGGGTCTACAGACATGCGCCACCATGCCTGGCTAATTTTTTCTATATATTTTTAGTTGTCCAGCTAATTTCTTTCTATTTTTTTAGTAGAGACTAAGGTCTCACTCTTGGTCAGGCTGGTCTCGCACTCCTGAGCTCAAACAGTCCGCCCACCTCAGCGTCCCAGAGTGCTAGGATTACAGGTGTGTGCCACCGCGCCCGGCCTGCCATGATATACTTTTTAGCAAATGATATCAGGGTCATAAAAAGTAAGAGTGTTAATTGTAGCCATTCTCCTCAATATATGATGAGTCTCGGAGCCGACAGTTCATGAGGCACCTGTCACAGACGAGGAGGTGCTGTGGGAATGACAAAACGCCACTCTCTCCCTGCCCTCTAGGAGTACAAAGGGAAGATAAAAAAACATGTGCTCAAATCTTCGTGATTCCAAACTGAGAAAGATGACTGCTTTCAGAGAGGGACAAAGAAAGCATTGCTGTGCCCAAAGGAAAGAGAGCTCATACTCAGTTGGAGAAAATAAAAAAAACATTCACTGGCAGATCTGGTGTCTGAAGGATGGACAGGATTTTGCCAGGGAGAATTGGGGTCCCAGACAGGGAGGTATTCTGGGTGGAGGGGTCAGTATAAAACATATTTGAGGACTGGTGAGCATTTTGACTTTGCAGGAGCATGTGGCATGTATAGGAGAGCCATGGGCCATAAAACCCATCTGATATAATTAGGCTAGAAATTTCTCGGAGAGCACACTTCACGGCTCCCCTAGGAGAAATCTTTCTCCAGATAGATCGGCATGATAATGTCCTGGGCACTCCCTGTTTGGCAAGAGATAGTGGCTGGTACACAGGGGGATGAACAGTGACACTTGATATTTATCAGGCATTTACCATGTGCCACACATGCTAGGGGCTTGATAAAGGAAAGTGCTAAGTATTATTAATAATACCTTTCTTATATCATTCATTTTTTAGGTAAAGAAACTGCTGCTCAGAGAGGTCAACTGATATATCCAAAGTTGTGTAACCCACACATGGTTGAGCTGGGGTTTGAATCTCTGATGCCAGAACCCATGCTCCACATACCCTCCGAAAGCACTTTCTCTAGAAATAGTGAGAATAAAATTAATCCTTGAGCAGAAAGAGACCACAGGGTGTATGTAACCCATTGAATCTTACCTTAAAGTCCTATCTGGTAGGAAAGCAGGGCACATTATGGGGTGTGATGAATATGGGTTTGTTGCCCTAACTTTACCGCTTTCAAACTGAACAGGCAACCTTAACCAAATTACTTAACTTCTCTGTGCCTCAGTTTTCTTATCTGTACAATGGAGACATTAGTAGTGTCTTTTTCAGAGGATTCATTACAAATTTCAATAGCATGTATAAAAAGGTTAACAATACTGGGCATATAGTAAGTACTTGATAAATGTTAAGTGTTAAGAGTGCATGCTGTAGTATAGAACATTTCTCAAGCTACGATATAATGCCTTATTGTCTCCCCCCCCCACCCCCAACAAAACCCAGATTTCAGGATACTGGAGCTGAGTAGCCCTCTCCCTGTTTGGTAGTCTAGAATATAGCCTCAATCTAGGAACAAAGATGGAAATATTTTGATAGAGGCCATTATGCCACTGGGTTCCTAATAGAGTTAAGCACAACCGTCCAAGGATTCAGCCTGCCAGTCACCCATCTGGGCCCAGGCTGGGGGCAGCATTGGTGGGCTTGCTTCCCAGGGCAGGAGGCCTTGCCTGTCTGCCCGGCTCTCTGTGGCATTAGGAAGCGCTGCTCCTCCAGCGGGGAGCCTGGATCGAGACACGGGACCTGGTAAGCATCCCTGGGCTCCCCATCCCCCGGTTGAAAACGGCATCCAAGTTTGCCTCAAAGGCTCTCAAACCTTTGGGAGCCAAATGGAATGATAGAATATGAAACTTACTGACTTGAAAGAGCCCTCAGGAAACCACTTCGCCAAAAGTAGAACACCTGAAGAATTTTGAAGAATAAACAATTGAGTTTTAAATTTCAAAATAATTTTCTGATTTATATAGACAGAGAATTGAGAAACTGAGGTGTTGTGTGATTTATCCATTACTCAGTTTCACATTCCTCCATTCCCATTAACCCCAAATTCTACTCAGTCGGAATACTAAAGAGCTTGCTTTTGGCCCACCAACCTGAGTCTGTTTGTTATACTAGCTAATGTACTCAGTAGATCAAGGGTCGAGCTTTATTGCCCCAGTATAAACAGCAAATTTAATACAACCTGTTGCTGTAACCCAGTTACCCTTCTCCCTTGACACACCGGCAGTGGGATCTTGCAGGATTTCCATACTGCCAGTCAGCAAAAGCCTTGGCTAGTCAGCATCACCATATCACAAATGTGGAAACTGAGGCATGGAAAGGTTAAGTTTAAAGTTATTTAGAGAACCAGAAAATGAGCCTTAATTTGGGACTTTGACCCTTGTAGCTACTCATCCGAAATCTCTGCAGGCACAACATACTAGCATGCCAAATATTTTTGACTATATATCATTGATTAGATAAGGTTAAAAAATAAGAATATTTTTAAAGGAAAGATGTAGTTAAAAAAGAAAAATATCATTAAACATGGTGTTGATCCAGGCTAAAAGAAATGCTTTTTAGCCGGGCGCGGTGGCTCACGCCTGTAATCCTAGCTCTCTGGGAGGCTGAGGCGGGCGGATTGCTTGAGGTCGGGAGTTCGAAACCAGCCTGAGCAAGAGCAAGACCCCGTCTCTATCAAATAAAAAAAAAAAAAAAAAAAAAAAAATGCTTTTTGATGTATACCTCAACAACAACGACAAAATACGCAATGTCTTTACTCCACAATTTGTGCACTTAGTGTATAAACACTTTTTGTTCATTAGAACAATTTCAGATGCTATCAAGATTTCCAGCAAGCCATAAAACATGTCAGTTATGGCTTGAGTTTGTACAAAGCCTTGTCTGTGGGCTCATAGTCTCCGTAGGCTCTTCCAGTATACAGAGGAAATTCTAGATTAAAAATAACTATTGACGACTTGCTTGTTTCTGTAACTGGAAATTTCCACATATTTCTGCTTCTGGAAATCACTTTAGAAATTTAGGGGGAAAGAATTCCCTTTGGTTTTAGTCTGGCAGCAAGAAGGAGCCTCCAGACACTTGCTGGCATCCAGGATCCAGTGGGGTAATTTTCTAAAGTGCAATAGTGCTTGCTCAGGGCCACAAGCTGCAGGGGTGACAGCCGGCATCAATGAAGGGGCAGGCTGCTTGACTTCTTCTCAGCACACCATGGGCCAGGTGCTGCCCAGTCTTATTGTAGGCTCCAGATTAAAGTGCTGTCTCATCCAGAGGCACTTGGAAAGTGAAAATGGCAAGCTCTGCAGGCCAGCGGATCCTTGTTCAGAGTCCAGAAGCCTCTTGACGATGTCCCATCAGGTCACCCCAACTCCCAATACCACAGGTTCAGATCTGGGAAGAAAAGTCCACAAATAAGAAAAATCATTTTTTTCTGGTTAGAAAATATATAACCTCCCCAATATAGAATGGAATGAGAAACTACTTTTTTTAAAAAGTTCATCTATCTGGAGGCAGCATGGTTTAAAACCTTTCTTTCCCTGCTTTCTACCATTGTCCTAGTCCAAATCTTCAACCCTTCTCCTCCCCCCTTCTTTCTGTGGGCTGCAGCTAGCTCACTAATACTGGAGCACATTTAATGGGGCTTGTCCACTCAAACCCTTTCATAGTTCCTTATTGTGTTGGATATTTCTACCAGTTCATTCTCCACCCTGCTGCATCCTGTTCATGTCCCGGGAAGATTGTGGGTTGCATCACTGGGTTCTTCCCTGTGGCTTTGACTGAGCTCAGTCTAGGGGACAAAGAAGGCTGCAGGGAATAGAGAGTGAGGCTGGGGTATTGTTTCCTCGACAACCTCCCACACAGGTTGTAGGTTGACTTTGTCTGTTAAAGGCTGTGGCCCCCAAAAGTCTTTCCACCTTATCTCACACCTGGATTTCTTTCCAAACAGGATCACATGGCCTTCTCTGCAGATGCTCCACGCTTTCTTGCCTCTCTGCCTTTTCTTTGGGTATTCCCTCTAGAAGAATCTGTTATTTCCTCTTCTGTCTGGGCCAAATGTCACCTCTTCCATGAAATCTTTCCTCTCCCCTGATTATCCCCAGCCTAAAGTGATACTTTCCCCTATCTCTGAACTTTCGTGTATTATTTGTATCTCTTGAATAAGACATAGACAGCCATCAAAAATATGCAGAGTTCTCACACCATTACAAATTCATGAGCCCAGGTGAGTGATGCTATTAACGACCCCCCCCCCCCACGCAGCACCCTGCTCCCCCTCTGAGACAGCGCGCTCTGTGCAGAAAGAAAGCTCGAAGTCACCTGACATGGGGTGGGCATTTCTGGGGACTCTGAGGACAGATGGGTATGGTAGGCTTTGGAATAAAGGGATAATTTGAGAATTACATGCTTTTCTAAATATGTTTCAAGAAGTACAAGGTACCTTAGAGATCTTTGCAGGGAGCTATGGCAGGGTTTTTACATCCTCCCCTCTAATTCCACCACTGTTTTAGTCTGCTTTATATACAAGAGTTCTGTCTGATATTTCCTTTGTAAAAGGAAAAGAAAAGGTAAAAGAAAAACATTGGAAACCACTGGAATAGGAAAGGGGAAAGGAAACACACCCATGGTGGAACACTGAGGCTGTGGTCAGGGCTCAGGTGGAAGTTCTTAGGAGGAAGACTAACGAAAACAAATGAAACAAAACAGAGAGGACCCATTTCTAGAGGCTATATAGAAAGTTGGCCTTTTATTTTGATTTTAACCCAAATTATGCTAATGAGGACAGTTTCTTGAGTACCTTATCTCTAATACTTCATTGTTAAGACTCTTGGATGACTGTTATTTTGTTTAATTCATCCTCATAATTCCCACATGGCCTAACTGACACAGAGTCTTGCAAATAGCAGACACTTATTACACATTTGTGAGTGGATATATGAATAAATGAGTAGCACTGTACTAGGAATCACAAGACTTTTTGTGTGTGTCTTTTTGGGCCTGCCACGTTTCACTCATGAAAGACACTTAATATCTCTTAGCCCCAATATTACCATCCCTAAAATGAGGAAGCTAGGCTACATGCTCTGTGAGCCCTAACAAACCATGGCTTGACTAACTAGAATAACTTTTTTTTTAAAGGAAAGCTGATACATATTTATGGTATCAGAATCTACTCCTAAAGCTTTACTGGCTGACTGCTTGATTGTCTGCATAAAAGCAAAAAGGCACGGGGGCCCAAAGAGCAGCACAAGTTAGGTTAGACACAAGGACGATTTCCTCAAATAGAAAGGGCAGTGTGCCACAGACAAGGACTGTCAGTGGGCCTGAGTTCTAGCTCCAATTCTACCACTAAGTTATGAGATGACTTTATGTAAGTCACCTCATCTCTTCAATCCTTGGAGTGTAGTCATCTTTTATAGTTTGGCTGGACTAGGAATCTTTGAAGAACAACTAAGACTTTGGTATGTGATCTTTAAAGAAGGTATAGCATTGCCCTCCCTAAAGAGCAATGAAAAGTCCCGTATGATGCATTGGCTACTGGGATCTAGAGAGGGGAGTAGGGTGGTTAAAAGAGCTTCAGCAACCATCGCTCTTCATCTAACAGACAGCCCAGGGTACCTAAAAATAATACATTGGGGCACTTAAAGATGTAATAAAGTACACAAAAAATTCAGGAAACAAAAGCAGAAAACATAAGTTTCTATTACCCAAATACAGTGATTCTGAGCATTTTTATGTTTTTACTTCTATTTCTCTGAAGAAGGTGGGTGTGGTGGGTATATAAAAAACATTTTTTGTTGCTGTTGCTTTTTGTTTTTTTTTTGAGATAGAGTCTCACTCTGTTGCCTGGGCTAGAGTGCCTTGACGTCATCCTAGCTCACAGCAACCTCCAACTCCTAGACTCAAGGGATCCTCCTCTCTCAGCCTTTAGAGTATGAGGCCTCTCATACACAAGGGATCCTCCTGCCTCAGCCTCTCAAGGAGTGAGCCCCAATAAACCATGGCTTGATGACTAGAATAACTCTTTTTCTAAAGGAAGCCTGATACAGATTTATGGTATCAGAATCTGCTCCTAAAGTTTTACTGGCTGACTGCTTGATTGTCTGCATTTTGATTTTAACCCAAATTATGCTAATGAGAACAGTTTTTTAGATTAGAGAACCTTATCTCTAATACTTGATTGTTAAGACTCTTGGATGACTGTTATTTTGTTTAATAAAACAAGTAGCTGGGACTATAGGCATGCACCACCTTGCCCAGCTAATTTTTTGTACTTTAGTAGAGACGGAGTCTCACTCTTGCTCAGGCTGGTCTCGAACTCCTACCCTCAAGGGATCCTCCTGCCTCAGCCTCCCAGAGTGCTAGGATTACAGGTGTGAGCCACCACGCCCGGCCATAAAATACACATTTTTAATAGAAGATGAATGATATGGTCAGTATATTTTTATATCTTATCATTTTTTCCTATTTTTTATCATATAGAAAACATTTCCCTACATCATTATTCTTCAGAAATGGAATTTTCAGTGGCAACAAATAGTCTATTGAGTATAGGTTCTAATTTTTCCCCTGTTGTATCAGCCAGAGTAGACTAGGCTGCAATAACAAATCAATATAATAAGCAAAGGTTTACTTTTGGTCACATTCCATGTATGTTGAGGGTTAGCAGGGGGCTCTGTTAATTTTAGTTACTCGGAGACCAAGGCTGATGTAGAAATCACTACCTAGAATGTTGCTGGTCACCATGCCAGATGGAAAAAGAAGACATGGCAAAGCACATGCTAGCTCTTACAACTTCCACCCAGAACTAACACACATCACTTATTCTTGCATTTAATTGACCAAAGCAAATTATATGACAACACCTAACTACAAATAAATTGCAGAGAATTGCAATCCTAACGTGCACCAAGGCAAGAGATCCCAGAAATGGTGAAACAACACTAATGACCACCACATCCACCCTGCAGAAGGATGGGAATGAGCTATCTCTTTGGCCACATTTAGTTTTATCTGAGTGTTTTTATTTTGCAATATTAAAGTTAAGGCTTTGATGGCCCATCTGGGGAGATAGGAATATAGATTTACTAAGAATAAGAACTGTCTAGGGGGAGAGACATGGATTGGAAAACCCAGCTCGGAGCAGCTGTTGCTTAAGATGCTGAGCCCTTCCAGGTACTTTCACAATAATCAGATCTTGCTTCAGTTGTTGGTTAGTGAAGCAAAACTAGCAAACCCTCCCCTTCTTATGTGGGAAGGGAGAATATTCATCTGAATAAAAGTCTGTCAGAAGTACGTGCAATGGCATGCCCAGGCCAAGTCCCAAGACGCCATCTCTCAAGGTGATGCTGAGTCAGAATAGGAGGGTGCAGGATGGCTCCTGGGCAGCCCAGAACAGAACACTTTCCTTAGAATGGGTGGTTTCAGGGTGAGGTCGAGCTAGGATGGCAGAGAATGGGCATGGAAGAATGAGAGCCCTGAGCTGGCTAGGCCTGAGCAATATTAACCATGGGCCAGGCATGGTGGCTCTCATACCTGTAATCCCAGCACTTTGGGAGGCTGAGGTGGGAGATTGCTTGAGGCCAGGAGTTTGAGACCAACCTGAGTAACATAGTAAGACCCCTTTTCTACAAAAAATAAAAAAATTAGCCATGTGTGATGGTGCATGCCTATAGTCCTAGCTACTCAGGAGGCTAAGCCCAGGAGTTAGAGGTTGCAGTAAGCTGTGATCACACCACTGCACTCCAGCCTGGGTGACTAGAGACAGAATGAGGCTCTGTTTCTTACAAAAGAAAAATTAACAATGGTAATTACTTGGAAATGAATTATAAATTATTTTTCCTTTTTTATACTTTTTCTTTTTATACCCAGAAAAAAATAAGTAACTTAAAAAATGTTCTCAAAATTATTATAAGTTATTGCTTTTTGAGCTGGTAGACTTAACTAAAATAAACAAAATTTTATGTTGATATTTCTTTCTTAGTAGTGAGCCAAGTTTAGTCAAAATCAGTCATATTCTTTTAAATTTATCACAAAATAAACTACAAGAAGCCTAGACAAATGGACATGACGAACATCAAATACTGAATAGTTACATTAACTCTATTATCTCATTTTATTACATTGACTAGGTAGACCTAAAATATAGAGACAGAAGCATCCAGAAAATAATGCTATAATCATGTGCTTGAGAGTGATATATCTTTTATCCACTTGGGGCATAAACAAATAAAAAAAGTGGTATAGACAGTGTGTATAATGCAGAGGAAAAATGAAGAGGCATGAGTCATGGGAGGGATTCCTACAGGTTAAGCAAAGGACATATAGTGTATAGGTGTGGACTCTGGACTTGGATACCTGGATCAATTTACCGGCTCTTGTATTTATTAATATTAGCCATATGACCGTGGGCAAGTTTTTTAACCTTCTCATATTTAGTTTCTTCATCTATAAAATGGGGGCGACGTATATATCTCATTTGTGAATAGTTCGGCAATAAATGTGAGTGCAAGTATCTCTTTGATAGAGTGATTTCTTTTCCTTTGGATAAATATCCAGTACTGGGATTACTGCATGTGGTAGTTCTGTTTTTAGCTTTTTGAGAAATCTCCATACTATTTTCCATAGTAGCTGTACTAATTTACATTCCCACCAACAGTGTATGATACTTCTGTTTTCTCTGCATCCTCACCAGCATCTGTTACTTATTGTCTTGTTAATAATAGCCATTCTAACTGGGGTAAGATGATATCTCATTGTGGTTTTGATTTGCATTTCCCTGATGATTAGTGGGATGTTGAGCATTTTTTCTATATATACGTTAGCCATCTGTATGTCTTCTTTTGAGAAATGTCTATTCTTGTGTTTTGTCCATTTTACAATGAGATTATTATTGTTTTTCTATTGTTTAGTTTGAGTTCTGTGTATATTCTGGATGTTAGTCCTAGGTTGGATGAATAGTTTGCAAATATTTTTTCCCATTCAAGAGGTTGTCTCTTCAGTCTGTTGACAGTTTCCTTTGCTGTGAAGAGCTTTTTAGTTTAATATAGTCCCGTGTGTCTATTTTTGGTTTTGTTGCCTGTGCTTTTGAGGACTTAGCCATAAAGTCTTTGCCTTGACCAATGTCCTGAAGTGTTTTCCCTAAGTTTTCTTTTTGTAGTTTTGGATCTGACCTTTAAGTCTTTAATCCATTTTGAATTGATTTTTGTATATGGTGAGAGATAGGGGTCTAATCTTATTCTTTTGTACACGGATATCCAATTTTTCCATTACCATTTATTGAAGAGGGTGTCCTTTCCCCAATGTATATTCTTGGTGACTATGCCAAAAATCAGTTGGCTATAAATACATGAATTTATTTCTGGGTTCTCTATTCTGGTCCATTGGTCTATGTGTCTGTTTTTATGCAAATACTATGCTGTTTTGGTTTCTATAGTCTTGTAATATATTAATATTTTAAAGTTAGATAGTATGATGCCTTTAGGTTTGTTCTCTTTGCTCAGGATTGTGTTGAGTGTTCAGGCTCTTTTTTGGTTCCATACAAATTTCAGGATTGGTTTCTCTATTAATATATCTGTGAAAAATGACAATGGTATTTTGATAGGGATTGCATGGAATCTGCAGATTGCTTTGAGTGGTATGGTTATTTTAACAATATTCTCCCAATCTGTGAGTATGGGATGTCTTTCTATTTGTTTGTATTCTCTTCAATTTCTCTCATCAGTGGCTTGTGGTTTTCCTTGTACCTTGTAGAGATCTTTCACCTCCTTGGTTCAATTTATTCCTAGTATTTTTTTAGTAGCTATTATAAATGAGATTGAATCATTGATTATGTCTGTCTGTCTCTTTCTCTTCCTGCCCCTTCACCACCATTGGCTCTGTTTCTCTGGAGAAGCCTGACTGATACAGTACCTCTTACCCCCAGCAACAGAAACTAGTTTTCCTGGGTGTCCAAAGACTGGGGCCCAGACTGATCCTCTCTCCATTCTAAAAAATCAATATCTTCATGTCCTACTCCCCATCCTTCCTAGAAGATATTAACCAAAATGTTAAATTAGTTCTTGCTAAAGAATTAATAACTGCTGAGTAACTTAATAAGGAGGAACTTAAAATGCATCTAGTAAAATCTAATGCATTGGTATTTGTCTTGACAAAACCATAAAACATTATGCTGAATATATATGGGCCATTTTTTTCCATTACTCTTGATCATTAGTGAATTGCTACATTTCATGCAGCTCTAAACATGATTAAAAAGATTTAGATCAATCAGGAAAGAATTTTGATTGCAGCTGAAACATATAGGGCACAAAATAATATATCACCATTATAAGTATTAAAATATATATGTACATGACAAAGAAATAGAAATACTGATAAATAAAATAATTATTTTTTAAAAAGAGCACCTACTCCACATTTGATAAATATATGGACAGGCCTATGGATTATCCCATATCAAAGGCAACATCATTCATCAATCACCACACTCCTCCCCCAGAAATGGTCTCCCAAGACATCCTTATCTTTGCCCCAGACATCCCTGGGCATGAAATGAGACCTATTTGCTCTTCTGGATTTGGTCTAAACTTATCAATTTACAGATGACAAAACTGAAACCTAGAGAGGTGACAGATCTTACCTATGATTATGTAGCTATCTCACAAAAAAATCTTGAATCTAAATCTCCTGAATTTGAGTCATGACCTCTTTTTTATAAAAAATAAATTTTTCAAGAATAAAACAAAATATAGAGAATAATATAGTGGACATTTATATACCTACCACCCAATTTAAAAGGTTTAGTTTGGTATTTATGATTTCCATGCTGGTTTTGTACTTTTAGTTCATATGAATGTTTCCATAAACACTACTAAGGGATTGTTTGCACATTTTTAAACTCTCTATAGTTGGTATTATAACATCTGTATCTTTCTGCAAAGGACATTTAACAAGGCTTTGAGTGTTCCTCTATTTCTCAAATAGATGTTTCTTCCCTAATTACTCAGATCCTAAGCTTTTTCTGATAGTATTTTCTCTCTAGGACAGAGGCTGCAAACCTCTGAGTGTATTTAATTTGGCTTGTTCAGTATTTAAAATCTTTTCAGCCAGCATTTAAAAACTAGGAGATTTTATATAAACATCTGGATCTCCATCTTTTCTGGCAATGATAGGCCAGTGCTGAGCTGACAGGGCCATGTGCTGTCTGGTATGTTGCAGTCTCACCACTCCCTATCTGGTTATACCCTGGGTACCTGAGAACCTCTGTTCTCAGGCCTTTCAACATTTCTACTCTATACTGAGAAGTTGAAGGGGTCACAAAGACTCTAAGGTCATGAAACTTAGAAAAACACTGGTCCCTCTTCTGGAAACTCATCTCTAAGCCAAGTAGACCATTTTATGGGAATACAGGATTTTTGTTTCTCAAGAAATGAAAGTTTTAATCAGGCCTGCCAGTGTTGACATGAAATTTTTCTGAGTCAAGAAAATATCATTGCTGATTCAGAGAATCTCAGTGTGACTGGACTTAAGTATGGGCCCTGCCCTAAGCTGCATTTGTTCCCTGGTTCTGTGCCTAGGATGTGAGCATACCATGACAAGATGTATTTTCAAGAATAGCTTTCAGGCCAGGAGTGGGAGATGAAAAGGGTCCAGAGACTAATTTCATTCCTTTCAGTCATATTTTGTGCTTATGACTGCAATGTCTATGAGCGGGACACAGACCCTAGAATTTAAGGAAGGTTCTAGGGTTGTTCATAGGGTTGTTTTGTAGGGTTGTTTTCAAAATTGATTCCTCTGGAATTCTGGTGCTCTATTCAGCAGAATTCCAACATGAGTAGTTCTGAATATTCTGAGTGACTGATGCAACCTTATTTAGAAACTTCTATGATTTGCCATTGATCATTGTGGTACACTTACAAACTCACATGTCACGTCATATGATTTCTAGATTACAAAAGGAAAGGCAGCTTTTCTCAAGAAAGCTAGAAATACCCATTTTCTGGCATGACCCAGGCCTGTCTGATCCCCAAAACACTGTGCTTCCACAGGGTCTAAGCTTTCCATCTAACCAGCCTGACTGATTTCAGCAACCCTTTGCTTTTGACCTCCCCAGCACATCGTTCCTTTTCCACAAATTCCAGTTCCAAGCCTGTTCATCTCATGAGGAGTTTTCTGTTCGCCCATACTCCTTGCCTCACAGCCCCTAATAATATACTTCTCAATCATTGTTTGTTGCAAAAACATTTCAGCTGTTGATTGCATTACAGTTGAATACCTCCTCCTTGCTGTTAAATTTTAACCATCTTTCTAACCATGTGTGCCCAGAGGCAGTATTGCCTGTGCAGTATTGCCTAGGGGTGCTCAGGAACATAGACTGAGCAAAAGACAGCACGATTGCAGACACCATCTTTGCTCCCCAAGAAAGGTCTGGAAAAACACAGGATTGAAGAACAAGCCTTAGCTGGAATGCCACTGAATAGGAAGATTCTGTGTAAGGTGGAACTATTCGGTTGCCTTTTGTGAATTAATAGGGCAGTGGCTATTTCTTAATTCAAGGTAGGAGAATAAAGGAGGTGAAAAAGAAAAGTAAAATCCTGCTTACTCACAGCTCTATTTACTTCCCTCTTTATTGTGGTGACAGATCTTATTGTTGTGTCTGAAAAAGAAAAATCCCAGAATTAGAATAAAATTAATGAGAAAATTGTTCTGTTTACAGACTAAAATATGGAAGAACAAAAAGCAAATCCAGACAAATCCACATATAGGCTGGGTGTGGTGGCTCATGCCTGCAATGCCAGCACTTTGGGAAGCTGAGGCAGCAAGACTGCTTGAGCCCAGGAGTTCAAGGTTACAGGGAGCTATGATCATGCCATTGCACTCTAGCCTGGGCAATAGAAAGAATTTTTTTTTTCTCAAAAAAAAAAAAAAAAAAGAAAAATCCATCTATTGAAGTTTAAATGTTTACTGTGGCTTGAGACCTCAGGCTGGGTAATGTTGAATGTAAAATCCGGTCCCTAGGCAAAAATTATGAATAAAGAAGGCCCCTACTTTCCATTCCTTTGTCTGTCCATGGCCCCCAGTCACTCAAAGGCTGAGGGGTAGAATTTGGGTATTCAACCCAGGAGATGTCTCCAAAATGCTCTCTTTTCTGCTTTAACCTTAATGGCTACTTCCTGTCTTCCTGCCCTGGTACAGAGCAGAAGATCTGGTCAATTAATCTGCACTAAAGTGAAAATGACAATGACATTCCACAAGTCTCCGGGCAGAAGCAAAGTTCATATAATGGGATACTGCTCACCACTAAGTTTTCTTGGTTTCATTTCTTTCTGATTTCACATGTTCCCTCCCACTCTCATTTCACATGTTCCCTGATTTCGCATGTTCCCTGATTTCACATGTTCACCCCTGATTTCACATGTTCCCTCCCACTCTGATTCCCTTTCAGTACTTGATGTCCAGCCCCTGCCATTGCCTGGGTTCCTGAACTCAGTCTATCCTTAATTCTGCTTTTGCTCTATACACCAGGTTTTCAGTAATTCTCCTCATGACCAGCCTGACCTTGGCCTGGAATTTCACCAGTGTAGTCTCCTCCAAGAGGGTTTGCATTTGAAAGGAACCCAGTGGTTAACCCACAGGGATTGCTCCCAAATGTTGACATTTCAGTAGAGGCTACTATAATACTTGACCTCAGTCCTTCCATTCTCTGTGGGCCTTAGGCAATCGTAAACCAGTATATTTGACCTTTAGTTTAAATTTCTGTAAAGTTCTGGCTCAGTCTTCTAGAGCAGTGCCACTCAAAGTCTGGTCCATGGTCTGGTGCTGGTATATTTGTTACCAGTTTTTGATGAGATAAGTATAGAAATTGAGTGTAAATGTTTAGAAACTTTAGTAATTCTTTTACTATGTTATGATTTTTCTGACTATATTTATTGAAATGTAAAATAATATTCATTGAGTCTAATAAATATTGGGCCTATTGTTTTATGCCTTTGTACTTTCCATTACATTTTTTAGTGATTCATTATAGTGTATAAAATATATTGATCCCAACATATTGGAAATTTAAAAAACAAACAAATGAACAAACTGGCCCTTCACCAGAGAGTTTGAGAAATGCTATTCTCAAGATCTGGAGACCTGTCTAGAGATCTAGATACTATAGCTGGTGATTCCTACTAGACTCCAACTAGGCTTTGCCGTTGGCCCAGCAAGTCAATGAAACAAGTCACTCAAGTCTTCTGGATTGAGATTTGCTTTCTCCATCCATCGCTCAAAGATAATACTATTTAGATCAGGCCAATTTTTATTAAGCACTTTTCCAATAAAAAAGTTTTGGAGTCAGACAGACCTGTATTCAAATCCCAACTGTATGACTTTAGAGAGTTCATATAGATTTTCTGAGCCTCAGTTTTTCATCTGCAAAATAAAGATACTACTCCCTGCCTCAAACAATTTTGTGAAATTATATGAAAAGAAGTTTGTAAAGAGTCTAGCACAGTGATATTCAATAGACCTTTCTACAATCATGGAAATGTTGCATAATATATGTGCACTGTCCAACATGGTAGCTACTGGCTGCATGTGGCTTTGGAGCACTTACAGAGTGTGAGCCCCTAAAATGTGACTGATAATTGAATTTTTATTTAACTTAAATTTAAATAGCCACAGATAGCTATTATATTGAACAGAACAGGTCTAGCATACTCACTTACATATAGTAGGTTCAATGCTTAAAAGTTTATTGAACATCTATTATATGCCAGACACTGGGCATACATTGGTGAATGAGAGAAACACATTCCTTGTACTCATGAAACTTAAAGACTCACAGATAAAGCAGAATTTGACATTATTTTTATAACAAAAGTTGCAAACTTCTCTGGAAATCAGCAGGTCACCCCAGAGCCCTGAACTATAGAATGGTTCTTCTTAGGGGAAAATGGTAAACAGATGGTAAACAGGACCTTTTGTGGACCAACAATGGCTCCCCTCTCATTATATCTTAGTATGTAGAGCTAGTCACTGAGCATAGGTGGGCAAATCTGTTTAGGAGCCAAGGAGCCTTCTGGAATGAAAGGGACCTAGATTGCTACCTCTTTACTTGACTCTCCAATGGCCTAAGACGTTGAGGACAACAGAGACCCTAAGAGGAACTCTAGAGAAGGAAGTGAGGACTGTGTCCCAGGCTCAACATAAGGGCCTAGAGTAGGAGAGGCTGGCTGTGCGCAGCTGTGGCCAAGGAAGGAATCCTTCCTTGTCTCATCAGCCCATGGAGGCCCTGCTTAAGGACCAATGCAGCATGTTGGGGGGAGCCATAAAGATTGTAACATTATCTTGCAATATTATCTGTGGCCATTGGGGGGATGGATCTGGACTAGCAAGGGTACCTTTGCACAGTGGATGGAGACACCTGGAAGGAACAGAGATTTTTGCATGGCAGGAACAGAAACAGCAATATCAAAACCAGGGCCTCCTGTAAGCTCGCTCCCCAGTAGCCTCCTGACAGTCTGTGGGAGGTGAGGAAGTACAGGTTGTAAGAGGGAGATATTGGACTTCTTGCTAAGATGGGCAAGTAGGTGCTTGAGGAATTAGCTGGAAAATTAAAAGTGATGCAATTGCATTGTAGCCCAGACCATTAAAACAGGCCCTGGGCATTTAATTGTGTGCTGGGTGTATTGACAAGAGAAGTAGGTGCTATGGAAGAATATAACAAGGGGATTTTATGTAATGGGTGTGGTGAGGGGGGCCAGAGTCAGGGGACGCTTAATGAGGTGACAGCTTAGCTGAGATCTAAAGTTGACTCCAACTCATGTGGACAAGAAGAAGAAAGCATTTTAAGAAGAGAGAATACTATATGAGAAAACTCAGAATTGAGAGAGTCAGTTGCTTCTGAAGACTGGAAAACCCTGTATAGCTAGAGCTTGGACGATGAAGGTGATGGTGATGCAATGAGGGGTAGAGACATGAATCAAAACTCTTGGGGCTTGTTGGAACTTCATCTAACGAGCAATGGGAAACCATGACAGAGTTCTGGACAAAGGAGACATGGTAGATTCTTGATTTCAAAAGCCTGTTTAGCTAATATGGTGAGAATAGACCATATTGGAGGTGGCAGGAGTGGGTGTAGGGAGACCAATTAGGAGAATTCAGCTGCAGTACAGGTTGGACTGCAGTAGTGGCAGTGAAGTTGGATCCATAAGCTTGTAAAATATTAATTCTATTGCTGCTTCCCATTTTTCAGATAGAAAGACCATCTCAGAGCAGTTAAGTGATTCATACAAGGAATGGCAACACCAGGTCCTAATCTAGCCCTCTGACCCTGGTTTAAAGCTCTAGCCGCAGTACCAGTAGTTCTCAACCCTTTTCCACGGCACATAAATTTCTGTGCATGGCAGACACATTTCTACACATGCATCCATGTATCTCCTATGAGACAAAGTAGATCTGAATACGAGTGAATTAGAGAAGGGGGTTACTATATAGGCAATTGTATGATTTCCCTCTTGTTCATTAAAAACAAAAAAAAGGATCCTTTTTCAAATGTATTCACTTAATTCTTATTAGTAACAAAGCTCTCCCAACGACAGCTGGGGCCCGAGATTCATACCCCAGCTCTGAGCTACTGATATCCACTCGCTCTTGAGATTAGGATGGGGGAGGGGGGAGGTTTTTTTTTTTTTCTACTCTATCTATAAGTGTGACTCCATTTTGTTCTTCCAAAGAAACGCAGAACAGAAGACTCAGCTGCTCATTTCTGAAGTGAATAAGGAGTCCTCAGGCCCCAGGACTGGAACTTTGGTATAAAGCTGTTTCCAAGAGGTATATGTGTGGGAGGTAAAAGACGAATGACAGAAGCTACAACTCTAATGGGCCGCATCTACCGCAGCCCCCTGAGGTTATGGGTTTACAGGAGTGATTCTACTTGAAATTCAAAGTTCTGTTGGACAAACCCTGTAATTCATCCTCCTTTACTGTGAAGCTCCCTTCTCCTCCACTTTTATTTCCTTCCTTCCTTCCTACTTTCCTTCTTTCCCTCCTTCCTTGCTTCCTTTCTTTCCTCTTTCTCTCCCTCCTCTCTCTTTCCCCCCTCTTTTCTGCTCTCCATTCCTTCCTTTTTCCCCTCCCTTCTTCTCTCTTTTCTTCCACTCTTACCCCCACCTTTTTCTTTTGACAACAGTTCTTTCTTGCATATTCTACAGTTAGAGGTTTTGTGGTCAGGAACTAAGCTAATGCACACATAGGGCAATGGACAAATAAGGATATGGCAGTATTTTATGGCGATTGAAAATATAGAGGTTATGACTGTGTGTACAGGATACAACCACCTAAAATTCCTCCCAGTCCTCAAATAGTGTTTCCCCAGATTCCTACTGAATTAATCCCAGATGTCATTTCCTTTTGTACAGACAAGGCCACGTATAGACCTCGAGAGACATGTGTTGGGTGGTTTAGGAAAGCACCAGATAGGTCTGCATATGTCCTGGGGGTTTTGTGGGCAGCCTCCTCCCAGTAAACCAAGGACAGACGCATAAGCAATTGGATCCTCAGTCCAGGGTTCAGAGGCTGCAGGCGTCCTCTGTCCCAGCTGGCACAACAGAACAGGCGTGGGTTGGTGAGAACAGAACAGGCAAAGGTGAACCTCCAGGCGAGCTGCTGGAAGGCCTCAGGGCACCACCAACCAGGTGCTTCTCTCACCCCAAATGGCCTCACAAACCCTTCTTTCCTTACCCAACCTGGGGATTTGGATTCCTGGGAGACAGGGGTGGGTTTAACCCAGCTCGTACCCAAAATGGGGCAAAGGGATGAGAACTGAAGGAATCTTCAGAAAGGATCCTGGCAGCTTCTCTCCAGCAAAGTCTGGCCTGTCTTTATGGCCAAAATAACATCACTCTCACGAGGCTGATGAAAGTTCTTGGCTCAAAGAACAAGGGAAACTCTTTCAGACACGAGAACATCACATTCCCTCTTAAAAAAAAACAAAAAAAACTCAGTGTAAGGAGCACAGCTAACTGAAGACCACAGCCATTTTCTTCTGGGGGGAAAAATCCAAAAGGAGAAGCTCAAAGTGTTTTGTTCATAAGTGGATTTAGTGTGAAGCTGGGAAGGGGAGGCCTTCGGTGCAAAGGAGAGGTTCACGCTGCAGACAGCCCATTTGGTTACCATGAATAAAACTCACTTACCTTTTCTAGAATAGAGCTTTTGGCAGAGCCATTTTCTGAGGATTATCATTGTGGCTATGAAAATTAAAGCGATGGTGCAGGAAGGGATGAAAATGTGAAGCAGCGAAGTTGGCGTGACCTCGGGATCTATCCAACCTGGGTGAAGGAAAAGCACCAGAATCCCATTACATGGCAGCTCAGCGGTAGACCAACAAGTTGGCCATATGAGTGCTCGACACACCTGGCCATAACCACCATGGCCAGGTGCGTCGAGCATGTACTCCATGCCAGGCACTGTTCTAAGTGCTCGGCACCTATCAGCTCATCTACTCCTCACGACAACCCTGTGATGTAGGCTGTACTAGAGTCCTCATTTTATTTGTGAAGAAAGTGAGACAGAGAGGCTAGAAACTTTCCAAAAATTAGACAGTAAGTGACTTAGTGGAGATACAATTCAGGCTGTCTGGTTCCAGATGCTGTGATTTTTGCTACTCTGATATATTTATCATATTCTCTTTTATCTATCTATCTATCTATCTATCTATCTATCTATCTATCTATCTAGCTTCCTTTTTCCTTTTCTTGCTCCCCCTCCTCCCCTACATCATCCTCTCTCTCTTTCCAGTGGGAAGGTCTCTCAGCCCATAAATGTCTTTCCTCTACTGACAAGCACTCACAGTGCTTAGTATACCATTAGTTATTCAATTTCAGGCATTAACAAGGTCCTTTTGAAAAACTTGAATATCCTAGGTGGTGCTAATATACAAAATCCAGCTCCTCATGTCTTGGTATGAATTAGTACAACTGGTCCTTTGCTTTGTCTCAGCTAATCAAGGTCTTGTCACTGAGGAAAAGATGAGTTTAGTAGAGATGTGGATGAGAAGAATAATTTTGCAGGCTGGGGAAAACCTTGTCAAAGGAGAGCTCTGGGTATCTACAGGTTAGGACAAGGGCTCCAGCAAGGCTGCAGGCGTGTTCACAATAGGGAGATGAGAGGGTACCCAACTTAAGTTGTGCCCTTTTCAAAAGCTTGAGTTTTGCTGCATGAAATCACTCATAGGGAATAAACATAACAGGCTGGGCAGGAAAAAGTGGATGAAACTTCTCAGGAGGAAGGGCTCAGTCCTGCCAATTTCATGGGACTACACACACTGCCTCCCCAGAGTGCCATCTGAGAACTACAGATTGTTTTCTCTGAGAAAGGATTAGCTATGATTTAGTCTGAGCTCCTCATTTTAGAGTTGAGGAAGTAAGGCTCAGAGATGCTAAATAATCTATCCAAGATCATCACTGCTAAGTAAGTTGTAAAGCCAGGGTTGCAAACCCAGATCTCTCTAACCCAAAGCTTGGTCCCCACAGATATTTGTCTCTATATAAAAGAGTGTGGTGAACATTAAGGAAGGAAAGGATAAGGAGCCTGGCTCATCTACACCTTGGTTATCCCATATTGATTGCAATCTGCTTGTTTACTTCTAGCAAGTGCTTATTGAGCACTTGTTGCATGTAGCACTGTGAGTCAAGGAGCACTGGGCTCCTCACTGTCTCCCACAAAGGGAGGGGTCCCCACCTCAGTCCCTTATGCAAACTCTTGCCCTGTGCAGATTCTCCCTTAGTTCCTTCCACATGCAGAAGCTCTACTCCTCCCTGAACACTTTCCAAAGTTGAACATGCAACAGGACATCAATCCGCTTAGATGTATTTGGAGGCCAAAGGCTTTATTTATCTAAGTCACCTCTCAATTCTCTATGGAGAGAAGCACCAGTTACATGAAAGGTAAGATTTGTTGGGCTAAATTGACTGTCTGTCTAGTCCACCTAGCCTGATCTTCCTAGTCATTAGTTGCCTTGTGATAAACTGCTGGTTATTCCTTTAATCTATCATCTCTTTATTCCCTAATATTAGGGTGTCATCTGGACACAAGTCTTCTCGGAGACTGTATTTCCAGGCCTCCCCTGTAGTTAGCTGTGCCCAGCCATGCAAACTAAGTTCTGGCCAAGAGAATGGATCTTCTGGGTCTTGGCCTTAAAACCTTGACTATGTCTTCTACCACTCTTTTTCCTTTTTGAGGGCTGAAGCATGGATTTGGCCATGACCTAGCTTTGAAAATTCAACAGGGACAACATCTTGGAGATGTTTTCCTGGAAGCAGAGCAACAGGATGGGAAGAACTTGGATCACTGAATGAAAACAAAGTATGAAACACAACTACTTGGGTGCTCTGAACCACCTGAATATTACATAGAGAGAAATATATATCTTGTTCGAGTCACTTTATTTTGGGTTGCGGGTCTCTTTATTATGATAGCTTAGCCTTTATCTTTTTTTGTGGGAGAGTGGGGGGGGGGGACAGAACCTCACTCTGTTGCCCAGGCTACAATGCTGTGGCATCAGCCTTGTTCACAGCAACCTCAAACTCCTGGGCTCAGGTGATCCTTCTGCTTCAGCCTCCCAAGTAGCTGGGACTACTGGTGCATGCAACCACACCCAGCTAATTTTTTCCATTTTTAGTAGAGATGGGGTCTTGCTCCTACTCAGGCTGGTCTCAAACTCCTTAGCTCAAGCAATCCTCCTGGCTCGGCCTCCCAGAGTGCCAGGATTACAGGCGTGAGCCACCACACCTGGCCAGCCTATATCTTAATAACATATTTTTCGATATTGTCTTATAATAACTGCAAACTCTTTAACATTGATATAATGATGCAGTGGGAAAAAATGTTTGCCTTGTCCTTACCAAATATATACTAACAAGGAAGCCCTACATCTTGCTAAAGGTGCCATATTTTTTTTCTGTTTCCACACTTTCTGAGTGCTAAACACTTTGCAAGCATATTTCATTTAATCCTCACAATAACCCAATGAGGTGTCTACCATTATTTACCCTCATTCTACACCGAGGATAGACTGAATGCTAAGGTGGTTCAGTAGTATGTTCAAGTCCTCAGAGCTAGTAGGTGGCAGAGAGGGAAGATTTGAAATTTAAGTCTGTCTGACTTCAGAGCCCAGAGCCCACGCTTTCGACAACTGCTGGGAGTCACCGCCAGGTCTCCTAGAAGAGCGTCTCTTTTCTGCCAGCCCCACAAGAGTCTTTTTACAGTTAGTTTTTGTGCTCCAGTCCCATTACATTTCCGAATGAAAATACAACAACTAGCTGAGCAGAAAAACCCCTATTTCAAAAGGAAAATGATCCTGCTGCTCCTGAACTTCTTCTTGAGAACCAGGATGCTCATTCTGGAGTCACTGGAGCACCCCCCACCCTGCATATTCTCATTTCTGTGTTTGTTTTGTTTATTCATCAACTTCTGGAGAAGCTTGTGGTGGTTCACAGCAGTCAGCAGGTCAATTTATGAGAATGAGTAGAAAGGGAACAGTCATAAGACAACTTAAAAGTGCCTTTGAGAAATAGAAGCAAGGAACCCATGAGAGGATGTGTGACTTTGGTTATTTTGTGCTGGCATTTGTGTCACAAACCAAGACACCATCTGGCCGCTCTGATCTGCCTGTCCACATGGTCCGGCAGCTGGGATGATGGGACTGAGATTAACCAAGACCAAGTCTTCAACCTACCAATCTGACATTTATTGAGCTCTTATTAGGGGCAAAACACTCTGCTTTTGCTTTAGTCTGAATATAAAGAAGCAGTAAGGGAGAAAAGACAGACATAATCACAATGCAAACAAACAAATGGTGCAGGTAATAGATCTTAAGAGACGAGATGAGAGAAAGACCCTTTTGTACCCTGGAGTTATCTGAGCTACCCTGGAGAGAGGGTGGGCTTGGAGCTGGGGAAAAAACTGACTGAACAAAAAAAACATTTGTGTGGGGAAAAAACTGACTGAACAAAAAAGGCATGGAGGTGGGAAAGGTGCAAAAGGTAGACTCTCATTGTCTCTAAATTCATCTTACACAGGACCTTATTTCCCTGCAGAGGTCTCACATAAGTGTCCTTCTAGAAAACCACATTTCATCCAAAGTACTGGCCTACACTTAAGCAGGCATGAAAGTCCACATTACAAAGGACTGTTGAGCAAACAATTCTAGGAGGAAAAATTCCTGTGGGTTTGTTCATTTAAGCCTCAAAAGAGTTAGTATGGATTAGTTATAGCACATTTTTTTTTTTACGGGATGACAAATCTGTTGGTCTTAACTGTGATAGAGAGAGGTAAATAATGTTAAAAAGATCAATTTGCCTAATTCATTTTTTCACCCAAAGTTGTTCCTAAAATTGATGTCTTTCTTATGTCTTTATTTCTGTCAAGTTTCTCAGCATGTCTCCTCTCTTTACTCACCTACCTCATCATGGTAATTTAGTCAGAAAGAAGCTGGGCTAACTTTAGTGTTGGAATTGGGTAGTGACGACGTGTAGTTAGATGGGGAAGTGGGAGACAGGGATGACAATGCATCTAGCTGCCTCTGCAAATTTTATCTGAGGGGAATTTTTTTTTCCAGAAGAAGATACTAGGAAAGTAATGACGAGATGGGTATTTATTTAATCACTTTAAAGTTCTCAAATTTTGGTCTGTGGATCATTGCTAAACCATGAAAAAGTTTCTTTTCATTTGGATAGAGTAGGTATCTCTGATGCCCCAACTCATATTGTCTGCCCATGCCCTGGTTTTAGCCTTGGCTGAATGTGCCTGGTGGTGATGGTGCTGTGTGGGGTCTATCTCTCTCCCCACTGACCATCTCACCTCTAGCACGTTCTGCTTCTGTGCCAAGGCTCCCCAGTGCTGAGGGTCGGCCCCTCTCACCATTACTTCCAATAGCCCACTTACATTTTTCCTTCTCATCCTCATGAATTTAGGCTCTACTGGATCAAAGGTCTGGCTTTCTATGGGGAATTCTCCTACTAGGGGATATTGTACTTGTTCTACTGTATATAAAGTTATAGCTACTGCCTGGTCACCTTAAACTCTTCACACTGGCAGACCAGTGGGCAAAGAAAAGAGTTACCATACTGGTGGAGTTATTAATCTTGATTACTGTGAACATCTTGAATGATGTTACATAGTGGAGGCAAAAAGAATATGTCTGGAACGCAGCAGGGATCCACTGATTCACTGGTGGTTTCTTACTTCCACATCCAGTGATGATGAAAAGATATTTGCAGCAACTTTAGTCTTAAGGGCAAGGTGACCCAGGGGTCAGGTCTCTTAGGGTTGAAAGTCTGGGTCACCCTACCAGGCAAAGAAATTATTCCATCTGAAGTGCTGGGTGAGGGAAATATAGAATGTGTGGTGGATGAGAGAAATGACAACTATCAACCGTGGCTTGGGATTGATGGCATCAGTGGGAATAGTAGCTTGTTCCACAAACTCTTCTTTTGTAGAGCTTACAGCTGCTTCCCAGCTGGAAGGCTCGGTGATGGCGTGGACTTAATGTAGGGCATGAGTGGAGGTGAGCAGTGTAGAGGGGGACTGTGCTTTCCTGCCTCACTTCCTCTCAGCCCCAGCTCTGATTTCAGCCAGCTATGGTAGAAGTCTGGGTGGGCTTCCACTCACTTCAAGGCTAGCAATTCGCCTCAGGTGGCTACCTTGCTTTCTGCCCTGGGACTTTTCTGATGGTACAGATGCCATGGGAGCTCACTCAGCCCACAAACGTGCCTAGCTCAGGGGCAGAAAAGAGTTTACACTCCTGGGGACAACTGTCAACCAGTGAGGGTGAAAGTAAATGGACAAGTCCTTCCACCTGAAGTTCTTTGAGTGAACATCTTAGGATGCATCTACATACTTCCCAGGTGGTCCTTGAATATCTGAATTCCTGTTGTCTACACCAACAACTTTGATAATACACCTTCATATTTGCTTGTCTTTCTTTCCTGTCTTAAAGTCCTAAATCTCTGATTTCTGCCTCCTGGGGTCACTACCTAAATACCTACATGTTACACGAGCCCTTATCATAGGTTCTGTCTTGCCTAACTAAGCAAAGGGCAAAATGTGAAATACAATGACAATACAGTGAATTTTCTGTAAAGTCAAATCTCATCAGTACGAGGGATTATCCTTTATTCTGTGGCTATGTCTTTTCTTGGTTGGATAAGCAAAACAATGGCTTCCCTCAAAAATGTTCATGTCCCAGGCCTAATTCCCATAACCTGTGAATGTTACCTTACATGGCAGAAGGGGTTTTTGCAGATGCATCACACTAAGAACCTTAAGATGGGAAGATCATCCTGAATTATCCAGGGGAGAAGGGTACTTCATGTCATCACAAAAGTCCTTAAGAGGTGGAAGAGAGGAGCAAAAACATTAGAGAAAGAGATGTGGTGACAGAAGCAGAGGGCTGAGAGACAGAGTTGCTGGCTTTGAAGGTAGAGGAAGGGTCCATGAGCCAAAGAATGCAGGCCTCTAGCAGCTGGCAAAGACAAGAAAGTGGAATCTCTCCTGGAGCCTCTGCAGTCCTGCCGACACCTCGAGTGAAACCCATGTTTGGTCTTCTGACCTCCATAACTATAAGATAATAAACTTGTGTTGTCTTAAACTGTGAAGTTTGTGGTAATTTGATATAGGAGCGATAGGAAACTTCCACACCTGGTGATAAAATTACCTGTCTCTTATGGAATGATTCCAGATGTTCGTTGTCCTTCCTTAGCAAAATAAATGTTCTTACTTGGCAAATAAAAAGTTGTTAGTGTCCCAAGATTGTTTGACATTTTGCTGGTGTATAAAATTCAAAAGTATGGGATCCCTTGTAAAAATATCCAGCATAGCCAGGTAAGGCTCTGAAGGATTTTGAAGGAGACTAACCTTCTTGGAAATACCCTATAACCAGCTGACTGGAAGTGAATCCAGCAAAGTAGTATTCATCCTGCTGACTCATGGTAGTGTGCATGAGTCACAGTGGTTAGCTGCTGGCCTGGATATCTTCTGTTTTCTCTACAGATCCATTCTCCACACTTCAACACTCTACTCTGAGCCCTGAGAGGTTAACTTTTATGGGAGACCTCAGCGATCCTCTTACTCTCTGCCTTCCAGCTGGGTTCAGCCAAAGGGAGGCTCCAGCAGGAGGTTAGAAGGGGAGAGGAGAATGAGTCTGAGTGTCCAGTCACATAACTTCTGCCCTGTGGAGTTGCTGCAGGTGACAGCCTCCCTCTTCTGGAGGCCACAGCTGCTGCACAGTAGGGCTTTTCCTACAGCTGCCTTCTCCTGGCCCCCACAACCTCTCCAGCAGTAGTCACTGCTCTCCCAACACTGAAGCCCCAGTGTCCTGCACTGTCCTTTGTAGTTCCTCTAAACGCTGATCACACCTTCATAAATACTCCTTTTATGATACTCTCCTCCAGGTACTCATTTTGAGCATGCCATCTGTTTCTTGCTTGAACCCTGATTGAAAGATGGAGGAAGTGGGGGGGGCAGCTCTTACTTTGAGGGTCACTGATGTTGGCTGCAGTAAGTTCCTTTACATTAACGTTCCAGAACACACAACTGAAGTTTCTTCCAGGGTGGGGCTTTAGGCGCAGAACACTGGTGACCTGGTAGAGGCCTTCAGGGGTCCTGATGTGGCTGGTGTTGGCGGGAACACTGATGTTTGGCCAGGACACTTCTGCCAGGGGATAACCTCTAGCCTGGCAGGTGAGCTTCACCTCGTCTGTCCCTGGGATGTTTAGGATGCGAGTGTTTATTTTTTTGTAGGAAGCTGGACAATAGAAGAATAAAGAGAAATAAGTCTTTCTTTTCTGATTCCTGTAGAGCTCTGTATTTAACGCCATGTCCCTGGTATCCTGCTGTCTTACATGCATTGAATTATTTAGTTCTTACAATACAACAAAGATGTCATTTATATTCTCAATTTTGTTGGGGTTAACTAAAGGTAGAGAGGTTGAGTATTTCGCTCAGGATCATAGAGCTTATAACTGGTACAGCCAATATTTGAACATTGCAAGCCTGATTATATATCTCAGCGGTGGTTTAAGCTACCACACTTGGTGGCTTCTTAGAGTGTTTTCAATTATCTCACAATTGAAGGTTGGAAAGAAGATGGATAAATAAAATCACTGGATAACCCCCATATCTCACTTTATTCAGTACTTTTTCAAACATCTTTAGTTACAATGTTACTTTCCACTTCCTTCTTTCCTCTGTTCTCTTTGAGACTAGGAGGAGAAAAAATAAAGACCTATATAATGTCTATAAACAGTCAAGAGTTGGGTGTATTTATTATGTACTTCTCCCCAATACACACACACACACACACACACACACACACACACACACACACACACACACACACAGTTTATGCACACACGTGCTTCTTTGCAGAACGTGCTGAGTACATTACCTATGGCTCCTTGCCCTCTAGAGATCTAAAATATACAAGAGTGTACAGCCAATTTGGAAAATAATACAGAGGTTCCTCAAAAAACTAAAAATAGTATTACCATATGATTCAGCACTCTTGCTTCTGGGCATATATCCAAAGGGTTTGAAAATAGTATGTAGAAGACATATCTGTCCTCTCATGTTCATTTCAGCATTATTTATGATAGCTAAGATATGGAAGCAACCTAAGTGTCCATCAGCAGATGAACATATAAAGAAAATGTGGCATATATACACCATGGAATAAACCTTAGCCTTAAGAAAGAAGGAAATTTTGTCATTCGTGACAACATGGGTGAAACTGGAGGATATTATGCTAAATGAAATAAGACAAACACTATTCTTCATGACCTCACCTATATGTGGGATCTAAAAAAGTTGATCTCATAGAAACAGAAGAGGAAGGTGGTTAGCACAGGCTGGAGGTGGAGAAGGATGGGGAAAGGGAAGATGTTGATCAAAGGGTACAAAGTCTCAGCTAGACAGGAGGAATAAGTTTTAGTGATCTATTGCACTGCATCATGACTCCATGGTTAATAATATTGTGTTGTATATTTCAAAATTGCTGTAAGTATAGATTTTTAACATTCTTACAACAAAAAAATAAGCTGGTGAGGTGATGTATGATTAACATTAATTACCTTGATTGAATCTTTTTACAATGTATACATAGATAAAAACATCACGGTGTACTGTATAAATCTATATAATTATTTGCCAATTAAAAATAAACAAATTAAAACACTAAAATAAAATGGAAAGATAAAAACCCTACCAAAAGTTTAAAAAGAAATAAAATAGACAAGGACGATATTGAGAGGGACAGGAAGACACAGGACAAACTGCCCAATGATCTTAGATAATAGCCAAAAATAAATAAATAAATAAATAAATATGAACACCATATGCAGTTACCAGGGAGTATGGAAAGTAACCTGTTCATTTTGGACAAGGGAAAAAGGGAATGAGCCCTGGCTTTCATTAGGTAGGGAATACTCCTTTAAGAAATAGAATTTCAATACAACCTTTGAAGTAAAGGTAATCTTGTAGTAAAGACACAGGTATGATTATATGATTTAAGAAAAATTGTTGGGAGTATAAATGGGTACAAACTTTGTGAAAAGCAATTTGATGTGAAAATATTATAACAACCACCATGTATAAAATATCTAATATGCACAATTTATTTATTGTTTCCTATGTGTTGAGATTTGTGCCATGTCCTTTTACATACTATGGAGGAGAAGATTGTTCGCGTCGCTGTCCACAATTTTTGTCCTTTTGTCCACCTCCTTTGTTGTGTGTCTCTATGTTACAGGAGTTGACGGTTTGATTAGTTATAGCCACTCACTGCATCAGGGTTTGCTAGAGAGCAGGGTAACTGCATATCGACCATCAGCTGCGGACACTTTGGCCCTCCCGGAAGTCTTTGCTCTGTGTGGTAAGCATACCCCTGCTGGGCCTGCTGGTGTGTCCCAGAAAGCTCTGACATCTTTCCAGCTCATGGTATTCCAGCTTCTGCTGTGACCGGGCGGGCCGGGCAGATTTTCTTATCCATGAGGTGGAATGGATGAGTGAGTTTAAGATCTAATCTGCAAACCCTGGCTCCCAGATTAAGATGACAGAACAAGAAACAAGAGGCCTCCTATTCTAAGTCACATTCTCCAGCTACACTATCAGAGAAGCACCAAAAGGAAAGGGAGAAGTCATGAGCTCATCCAGCTATTAATTTAAAACACATTTCCCATTTGGCTACTGATTCTTGTGCATATAGCTATTTAGTCAAGGAATCAGAAAGGTCTGAAACCTGTAAGTTTATAATGGCTCTAAAACCTGACCCCAGCCCCTTAATATACATACATAATGAATGTAATAAGTTATATTATGCAAACCACATAAAGACCCTATGAGGGAGTTAAAATTCATATTCCTAATTTGTAAATATGGAAGCAGCAGGGATCTGGGCTGGGTGGGGGTCTTGCACTCCTGCTCTTTGTGCTGCAGTATTCTGCACTCTGCACCGGAATCACCATGAGAAGATGATTCTCTGTGTAACTGCAGACGTCTGGGGATGGAGCACTGTAAACAGGAAGAAAAATATGTTCTCCTGGGGGGTTTAGGATCACCGGAACCAGCAGATGAGGAGAATCAGGTTCTGAAGCAGCCTACTGAAGACTTGACCTGGTTAGACTAACCAATCTCCTTGGGGCCAAATTTTGGGCTATCTCTAGCAATTAAACAGCCTCTGAGGTGTGCATTTTGAGTACTCACTTTATCTCTTATGTTATTTATTTATACTTATTTTCCCTTGGTTCAATGTCCTCTTATAATCATATTGTAGATTTTTTTCTGCACATTCTCAGGTCTTTGGGGGGAAAAAGTAGAATAAATGGATTCACAGGAATAGTGTGCTGTGGGTGAGGGTCCAGCCCACTCCTGCAGGGTGGCTCGGGACAAGAAGCTGACCTTGGTGTCCTGGTTGAGAGATGAGTTCAGAGGTACGAGGGCCAGGAATCAGGAGCTTGGCTGAGCCTTCGACTTGGGCTGCATAAATGAGGGAGCAGAGGGGAGGGAGAGATCTTCAGCTAAAAGAATCAGCAAAGTTTGGGGAAGGGACCAGGAGCCCACATCCTGCGTTTTTACAACATCAAAAATGCCTCCACAGCCTCTTCCTCATTTGGGAAGTGGCTGAAAAGGCATCGCTTCCCGTAATGGGGAAGCTGGGCTGAGGGTGATATTCTTAGGAAAAGATGAGACAATTTTAGAGTGTCAGTGGTGGAAGTAATCTAAGAATTTAAGTCATCTAACTGCTCAATGACAAATATTTTCTACAGCAATTCTTCTATATAACTATTTTGATGGATGTTCCACATGCACTTGAAAATAATGTGCATTCTGCAGTTGTTGGCTATAAGTTCTTTTTTGTTTGTTTTTTTGCCTATTCAAGTTTTTATTTTTACACATTTTTTTGTATTAAAAATAAAAGCATAATTACCACAAATTACAAAGGCCCAAAAGAGGACTAGAATAAGGAATGAGTCACTTCAGCCCGGAAAGTAGATATGCTCAATAATATTAATGTTATAATGCAAGCTCATTCAAGCATTTTACTTTGTGTGTGTGTGTGTGTGTGTGTGCCCTTTCAAATGTGATATCCTAGCACAAGGTAAAGATAACATACGACAAGCTTAAGGTGGAACCTTCTCCACAAAGCCAGATGACAAGTTTTCCTCTCCAGGGAAGAATGGGCTGTAAGTTCTTATCTTCTGTGCCATCAACTTGGCCGAAGAAGGAGAGGGTTGGGGCTGGGGAAAGTCCAGGGACCTTTCCACACAGGAGATATTTTGGGGTCCCATTCAGAAGGGTACCAGATGATCCAGATCACTCTACTCAGGTATTTGGCAAAAAACTCTCACCCTCCTAACTAGTTGTCTTCCTTACCTGTTTCCTCCCCACTTCCAGGGCCTTCTGAGCAGGTTACTTTCTTGTATAATAAAAATAAACTGTGATGAAAGGGGGAAAAAAGAGCTACGATGAAACAAAACAAAAATGTTTAACAATTTTGACATGGGGGGCTCATACCTCTACCTGGGCCCCAGGGGCCCAGGCTGGAGCAGGGCCAGATGTCCCTTCCCTACTGGTGTGCATTTGCTCCCAGGCACAGGAGAGGGCGAAAGAGAAACCTGCCTCTCAACAGGGCTGAGGGACACAGACCTTCTGACGTTTGATGCCCAAAGGCTGCGTAGGCATGGACCAGCCTTGGAAGGGTACAGCGCGAAGAGGGGTTTGGGCAGCTGTTGCTTTGTGTCTCAGGTCTTAGATCCCTATAGGAGGATGGTGGGTGTCAAGCGGGTATCCCTGATGGCCCCTGCCACTCCTGGCATGCTTGTCACAGATACATCAGTCCTAAATTCAAGTGTCTTCAGAAAGTGAAGATGTAAACTACTCTTTGCAACATTAATTCCTAACATATTACAAAAAAAAAGAAAAACGAAAAAACAAAAGAAATTCCCCCTCCACCCACCCACAAGCCTATGTTGAGATGAAGTCCTCACCTCCCTGTCCCAAAGGAGTGTCCTCTTTCAGGATTGTCTGTGGAGAGGATGGTGGCCCCTGGCCTGGGGGTAAACTTCAGATAAAAACAGCTTTTCCCCACAGCCCAAGGCTTCCCTGTGTCCCCAAACCCAGCAGAGTACAAACACTGAGGTTTCCTTCAGCTGAGTGACCTGAAGGAAAGAGAGTGGGAATGACGAGGGGAGGACGAGGGGGTCCAGGAGTCCAGGGTCTAGTACGACATGAGGCAGGTACCAGCCTGGGAAGGCAAAGGCCTCAGAACCCACCGTCATAGCCGAGACCAGACTCTCCTTATTGGTTCGAGACGAATGGGTCACAGGAACTTATGGGCTTGCCACATGCTAATTACTGGGAGGGCAAAGGTGTGGAAAGGGCACAGGCTGAAAGCAATGAGGTGCCCACGATGGAGGGTAAGCCCTCGTCAGCCTGCGATACTGTCTCCTACTCCCAACCTTTGGGACCAACAGAGGAACCAGTTGAAAAGGATGCGAAAGAAATTTCAGTCATTGAGCAATGAGACCACAAACTTCTCCGTGTTGCCCAGTTCCCCCTGAGAGTGGGCACGTAGTCATGCCCATTCCCGACACACGCCCTGGGCTGTGCAGGTCACTCCTTCATGGCACCTCCTTAGCTTTTGATGACACCAGACTCCAGCCGTCCCATTGTCATTCACAGCCCAACCCATGCACTGAGTGGCTGAAGAAGAAAAGTCGAGTACACTCTATGTCCCCATATACCTCCCTGCCACAGGCATCACTGACGGGCAGGACCCCACAGCCCCCCAATTCCCCCTCATCCCTGGTTCCCAGGCGGGGTCAGCTAGGGAGCGGGCAGAGATAGACGGCTTGCAGAGGGGGATGCAAGATAGGAAGACCCCTCCAGACCCCAGGAGGAGAATGGTGTCTTTCTCCACCTTTTAAGAGAGACAAAGCCCCCTTGAGGCCTTAGAGGTCTTTCAGGACAACGTAAGAAACATTTCCAAGCCTCAGCTGCCAGATGTTCACCTTTCCCCTCTGGGGTGGGGGACGCGTTCAAGCTGAGGAAAAGTGTGTTCCAGATCCAGGCCGACTCTGTTCTCCAAACTTGGCCTTGGGGTTCCAAGGGAAGGATGAAGGGTGTCCCGGCAGGAGGGGGCCTGGCACGAGGCAACAGCAAGCAGAGCAAGGACATGGCAGTGGCAGCGTGCATAGACACAGGACGTCGGCTCCACATGGTACAACAGCAGGGATATTTTGGGCACGGCTCTGATATGAGCCACCCCCAACTCCCTTGCCCCCAGGCAGAAGGTACTGTAATTTGCAACTTAGTCCAGAGCAAGATTCTAGTGAGTCCAACCCAGGCACATCCGGAGGTAGGAGCTCTTCAGGTTGACTCCACCAGGGAAAACAGGCATTTGGGTATTTTAGATTCCTGCTCCACAATAAGGCAACTTAGACAAAAATTCCAAGGAGAGGGGAAAGACATCACTTTCTGTGGATTGAGGGTTTTCTGACTTTTTTTTGTTTGGTCTTTCATGGTCATTTTGTCATTTGTTTCCCCAAGGATGGAAAGGTCAGAGAAAAATAAAATAAATCATCTTTCAATAGTCTTTTCTGTATGAGCAGCATCTCTCCAGGCTGGGCAGTAAAGGGTGTGGGAGAAGGGAGTAGGGAGAGGCTGAAATCTTGCCCCAACTCCCACTTTAAGATCCTTTGGTTCCCTTCTCCCAGAAGGTGGCAGAAGGGCCTGGGGGGGGGGGGCAGAAGGGCCTGGGGGAACAGAAGGGCCGGGGGCAGCAGGGAGACAACACGGTGATGACAAACCCAGGTGACCAAGGGGCTGGTACTCTGCCTCCCATGGGGCAGTGCTGGGCAATGGGGCCCATGGGGCCTTCTTGTGGGCTGCATAGTTGGCTTGAGGGGGAACAGGAGGAGACTGTGGGTGGGGACCAGGGTTGTAGCCTACAAGCTGCCAGCAGGGCTGCAGAGTGATTTTGGTAATCCAGACAAACTATAAATAATTTAAAATTTGATATCTATATAGATATAGATATAAAAAAGTTTATCCCCTTTCACTCCCCCCTTAGAAGAAACTGGGACCTCTGATAGCCCAAATGGTATACACACATTGCTACTCAGCACAAACGCCCCTCCTAATAATTCCAGGCCTGTCACTTCTGTCTCCTCTCTTGGGACTGGGTGCCCCCATGGACTCTTGTCCACTCCACCCCTTTTCTCCCTCAAACCCCAGGGCTAAGGAGCTTTTCACTTTCCCAAGCGGGTATAAGATAGGTAATTGTGTTGTTCAAATCTTCTGTTTTATTTAATTGTTTGTCCTATAGTTGTAATAGAGATGAGTTGAAATCTCGGATATGACTGTGGATTTGTCTATTTCTCCTTCTAAGTCTGCCAATTTTTGTTTGATATTTTGGAGCTATGTCATTAGACACATACACATTTAGAATTGCTATGTCTTCCTGTAGAATTGACCCTTTTATCATTATGAAATGTCTGTTTTTATCTTTAGTAATATCTATCTTCTGATATTAATAACTTGCTAGATAACTAACTTTTGTTTAAGTACATCTAGAAATGGAAACTCCTACTTCCTTCAGAAGCAATCTTTGCCATGATTATTCGATAAGTAAGTCATACTTTCATTAGAAAGACTTTCCTCACAACAAGCCAAATTTTACCTTTTTGTAGCTTCAACCAATTAGTATTTCTCTAATCTGGTAAAACAACACGGGGTAAGCATAGTAGTTAAAAACAAAGGCTTTAAAATCTGAAAGGTCTGACTAGGCTTTAGCCAAGGGTTAGTTACATGACCTCTCAAACCCTCAGTCTTCTCATTTATAAAATGAAAAGTTACAGTAAGACTTATCCATAACAATATGTTAGAATGAATAAATGATGTAGGTACCTAGAACATAGTAGTGTTCGCAATTATTAGCTCTTTCCTATTACAGGAAACATTTCAGTGAGTGTCAAGGGACTTTAACCCCTGGGGTAATTAACCCCCTGCCTTCCCCTTTTCTGTCCAGCCTGGCTGTAGTAGCAGCTTCTGCTGCTTCTAATTGCTGAGTTGCTTCCCTGTTCCCTGGTTGGCTTCTCAGTCTCTCTCATTAAAACAATGACTATTTTCTGCTTTAGATTCCCACAGGTTTAAATGGTTTCTGTTTCCCTGGTTGACTCTGGCTGCCTGATAGATATATTATGGGCAATGCTATTATGTCATTTCTAAAATAAAGATAAGCTGTGTACACAGTATTATCTGCTTTACAATCATGATAGCAAATAAGGTGAACAAATATAGTTTTACATGCTTTGTTCTTAGAGAATCCATGCAGATTTCTAATAATCACTAGAAATCTTTTAGGGCTTCCAATTCATCTGTTAAACTGCTTGGAGGAGAATATCAGGTTAAAGAGTTTGTAATTCACAGCTTTTCTCTCTTTGAAATCAGGGGGTAAGGGTAAGACAAGAAAATCG